ATCAAATGATTAAGTAGTTAGAAACTAGTTGCTATGAATACAGGTTCCATCAGTTGTCTTCTTATGAATGACTTGTCATTGAGTCAGTGTTGCTGATGCAAAGTAGGCCCTTCGTTACCAAACACCAAGTAACTAAATTAGGATACAATTATGAGTCATTCGCAAACTGTTAAACATTAAACTGTTGGTTACTTTAAAACTAACCTTCATCTGGGAAATCACAGGGATATGTGAATATTTGATCTGTTAATTGGTTGCATATGTCAGATTTATTGCATGACTCGGGCAGAGAAAAAGTGTTGCTATCAAACATTGTTTACTTAATCAACTGAGTCAGTGTACTGGTGAAGAGTTAGATCAAATAGGCCAATTGATAGAAGGTTTGTGAAGAAATTTCATGCTCCCTTGTAAAAGTATTTTTTAGTATTTTTAAAATACAAAAATACAGTGGTTTATTTTGATACTTGGTGTGGCTGCTGTATTTTGTAGTTTATTTTGATACACTTAAACTTAAGATATTTGGTATTTTATTTTAAAATACATTTTGATGTATCTTTGCCCAACCCTGATCGTTACTATTTCGGAGTGTGCTGCACTCGCATCAGTGTGTGAGTGAACTTTGAATTATAATGATGAATAATAATCAATCACAAAACCTTTTTGTAAACCAGTTTGACCAAATGGATCAAAAGAGTGATCCATTCGTGAATCTAGCGTCGCTAGATCTGATTCTAAACAGAAAACACATACATGACTGCTGAAATATTATCAGGGAAAATGATTCAGTTCGCTATACGGTAACCTCCATTGTCAGACACTTTATCAGTAATATTTTTCTGGACCACAGCGGTATTTCACTTTGACTCGTGTTCTGTGCCCCAATAAACGGTTATAGCGACTCCCCAGAATATTTTGGATTACCTTTCGCTATCTACAAAATTGACAAAACATTTCTAATCGGTCTTAAATTGTTATGCTAGTAATATAATTTGCAAAAACAACCATATAAATAAAAAATAAAAAAATAGAACGATCACTATTGATCTCAGACTTTTGGGATATTAATATGGTATAACCATCTGATCAACCATCTGATCAAATTTGATTAATAGTCGTATACTATGTGATGTGTACTAGAAACATACAGGAGTAAAAATGATAAATGGACTTACTTGAGATTCCGTTAGTAGCTATTATATTTTGAAAGAGCTGGTATCTGTGACCTGTAGGGCTCAAAGTTTAGCTGTAAGTGTTGATCTTCCACAGCAGACAGAGTCTTTGAAGTGAACTACTTATAGTACTCAAGGTATTATCAAGCTCTAGGGCCAAACCATTAGGAAATCTTTGTTCTTCCGTCAAGTTACATATGTTTGGAATAATAATGAAAGGCTTACCCACTCAGAAGAGGTAAAATCGTGTGCCCCAGTGTGACCTAATACATAAAACAAGATTTTGCTTAAATATACATCAAAACAATTTTTTTGAGTTATATGCACTTTTGTAGTACTTTTCATTTTTGGATAGACAGAAATTCTTGCAGAGCTTAGCTCAAACCTTGATTAGACTCAGCTGTCTGTAACTTAGTAATCATGAAGACCTTGATTAGCTTGTTCAGGTGTGTTTGATTAGGGATGGAGCTAAAGTCTGCAGGAAAGTGTTTGTTTGGTATAAGCCAGAGCCCTTGCCCTGTACCTTATATATTGCACTTTTTGAGGAGGTTCAGCCATTTGTAGTGGTGTCCGAAACCAGTGTTGGGGGTAACGCATTACAAGTAACGCAAGTTACGTAATCAGATTACTTTTTTTCAAGTAACTAGTAAAGTAACGCATTACTTTTTAATTTACAAGAGAATATCTGAGTTACTTTAACGCAAGTTACTTTTTTTTTTCTCCAATTTATTGATTGACAGCTCTGGTGTTGCCATGGTGACAGAAATCAGAAGATGTTACTGTAGTTCTAAAATAAATATGAATATGCATCTCACTCACAAAAAAAAACAAAAAAAACACAGATTCAGTATTCCTCAAAATGAATAAAAATAATGCAACTCAGAATATGACGCAAACCTGCAATAATTAAATGTTAAACAACACAAATATCCTTTATGTATTTAATCCCATTCTATTTGCTTCTGACCTTCGATGATCCAGTTCATACTAATAAGCAAAAATTACTCTAGACAAACATCTAGTGTCTTTTTTTATTGCTGAAGTGTGTTGAAATGTCGTCTTCTGCATTCTACTGTACGGACGTAAATGTACTTTCCCTTCAGCCTGAGGCTTATTCATTTCACTTTTGGTGTGAAAAGTCTTTTATATTTGCCAAAAATAGAACTTTTTTTTATTTTAAAAACAAACAAGCAAGCCCTGTCCAGATTTAAAAAGTAACGCGAAAGTAACGTAACGCATTACTTTCCATAAAAAGTAACTAAGTAACGTAATTAGTTACTTTTTTATGGAGTAACGCAACATTGTAACGCATTACTTTTAAAAGTAACTTTCCCCAACACTGTCCGAAACCAAAGTGGATATCATCAAGTGTGCTCATTCAACCCCATAATGCACTTCAACAATGAATGTATAACTGATATACACTGAACCGCTATAGAATATCCATGCACTGTGAGCATCGCGCCAATCCGCTTCTTGCTAAGATGCCAATCACAGCACTTACAGTGCACTCAGTGTCCGAATATTTATGGAGGGAATAGTGAATGAGGGTATAGGGGACGATTTCAGGTACAGCCACAGTCTACACTCTACAACTATTTTAGATAAACCTGCCCCTAAAAGGCACATAAAAACAAAAACTGAAACTGGTCGTTTCTAATATCAGTCAGATGGTCTTTTCCTCAGCAGATTTTATGCAGATAAACCTGCCTCTAAATAGAAACCATGGTTGTTAGTTGAAGCTCACTGACAGGGATACCTGAGGGACAACAATCTCTGCCCTGTTTCACCAAACACAGTAAGTTATGAGCTGCACCAAGCTGGAATTTATGATACTACTGCCATTTGGAAACTGCCTGTATTCAAGGCTAAAGCATGACAATAACCTTTTGCAAGCAGTGCTTGCACTGATGCCTGCAGCCCACAGTAACTGGTGCCAACTGCAGGGAATCTATTACAGTGTGGGCAGCTTCTGTACAGTATGTGGTGGGAGTTATTAGATTGGATGGGTTCATTTTGTAAGACCAGGTTCACTTTCTTGTTCTATAGTGTTCCTTTATATTGGCTCTTCCATATATATATATATATATATATATATGTGCTCTTCCAATGAGAATTTTCTTTTCCTTAATCACTGTTCAAGCCCATAGTGCATATAAACCATGCATGTGCTATATTTAATACAAGCACTCTTCCCCATCAGTT